TTTCCCCTTCCATCAATCATTCCGCATCTCCTTCCCTTTCTTCAGGCTCCTCTGTCACCCTCCTGAGGCCAGATCACCCCTCACAGTCTTCCTGGCCACCTTCCCCTAAGTCCCTTCTGGCTAGCCCAGGCACCTACTCACCCATGCTCCCTTCTCTGCCCCTGCCCCCATCATGGTGGCCAACTCTCCACTCACTCCCCACCTAGGAATTCATCTGGGTATATGGAAAGGCTGTGCCCAGGACCCACAGTCCATATCAGGGGCCGCCCACCTCTTTTTTTGTCCTCAGCTACTCACCAAAAATGGAGGTTGAAGGAGTGCCCTCTGTGTAAGATCTCTGCACAGTTCCTGGCCACTGTGTCTCAGGAAATTATAATACGGGAATTGAAAAAAAAACAAAAACAACCTGGAAAGCTAAGTGCCCCACTTCTCAGGCTTTTAGATAAGCCACATTATGGCTAGGGTGGAGGCAGACAGGCCAAAGGTAAGAAACCAACCCTTCCCTCCTCCTGGACTCAGGGAGCGGGTGGGAGATAGATGACAGACATACACAGATGATAGATATACACAGATGACACTGCACTGAACGCGCTATAAAGACTCCTCCCTCTCCTGGCCATGTGAGCCTCAGTAAGTCCTCTTCCCTCCCACTCATGCTTATGGTGGGGAGAAGGAAGCAGGAAGATTCCTCTGAAGACACAAAGGCCAGGAGGAGATGCAGCCCTCCAAGGCAAGGAAGAGAAGTGAAACAGGGCAGAAATTCAGAGGAAAGGACTGGGCACTGCTTGGGGCTCTGGCTTCTACAAGAAGCCATTGCTGAACTGACCTCCTCCCTGGCCGTGTCACAAGCTATCCCTCTGCCAGCCCAGCCTGGCTGAAGCCCAGAGGTGTAAGTTCTGTCTGAGGACCAGCCAGGTGAAGTCCCAGAGCAAAATGCTGCTCTCTGGCCAGCTTACTGCCTCTGCCAGTTCCCCGCCAGCCCCTCCAGCTTGCTCTGCTGGAGGCAGCAGGAAAAGCAGAGGTCCCAGGGGCCCTCCCACCATCCAGGCAGAGGGTCAGACTGATGCTCCACACTGCCCCGTCTCCGCCCCCTCCAGGAAGCAGAGGCCAAACTCAGGGGAAATAGGAACACACTGTCCTTTATTTGTGTTTCTCAGAATACTGTACAAAGGGAGTAAAAATCCTATTCACACTTTGCTTAGAAAGATTTTGAGGTCAAAGTTCCTTATGATACGTGGGGCAGGGGTTGGGGGGACCAGGATGCAGAAAACAGGGCCAGTGACGCCACCACCGCAGCTGCCACCGCTCCCTCAGCGCCCTGGCACCCACACCTTCTCAGAAGTAACACGGACCCCAGTCAGGCTGGGGAGGGGAGAAGGCGGCTCCTTCCCGCCCCTGCAGGTCACTCCCTGTGCCTGCCACTGTCCCGCTTGAGAGGGACCATGCGGGACTCTGCAGCCCACCAAACCCCTTTGGAGGTGGCCTGATGGCCCCAAAGGTGCATGCCACACGAGAGGCCCCGCCCCAGCGCAGTCTGCACAAGGAGGTTACCGGGTCAAGGGCTGCAGAAGGGCCCCACCATTCATCATTTCTGTCCCATGTCCCCGCGGCCCTCACACCACTGCAGAGATGGGCGTCAAACTGGACCTGTGCTTACGATGATGCACAGGCCCCTTCCACCCATCTCCACCCCCTCATGCCAACCCTGGAGTTTCAAACCCATAGCAGCCTCCCTTCCCATTACCCCCACCATGCTGTGGGTAAGTGACCCTCCAAGCCTGCCCCCTTCCCTGACCACTTCCCAAAGAATGAGGTTGGGTCTGTTCCCCCCCCCCAACCCCGCCCCGCATCTTACACGAACCCCCGCTGCTCTGCGCCCCGTTGTTTTCAGTCTCAATTCACCCTCCCCACCCCTGTCCCCAGCTCCCTCCCCACCTCCACCAGGGCCAGAAGGCTGCAGCCCTGGCCCCCCACCTCTGGGACCAGGCCACGCACACTCAGCCCCATCCCCCCACATCTCCTTACCCTCCCCACCTGCACCTAGTACCCCGGGGGGGCCGCTGTACGGGAGCTGTCTGACTTGAATTAGACAATTGTCTACCCAGAGAGATGAGGCACTCTCACACAACTGCTTTCGTGTATATAAGCACACGCTAAGCGTCACCCTAAAGACTTAAGAATTAAAGTGAAACCAACTAGAAGCTGTACCGTTCCCTCCACCCTGCTCACGGGGTTAAAGTGCTTTAGCAGAGGCCAAGGAGGCGCAAGCGAGCGGGGGGCTGCCCTGGCCTCTTGTCCCAACCTCATAGGTCTGTGTTCGGCCCAGGAGCCCAGCCCATTCCAGGAGCACCCCCATGAGGCAAAAGGAAAAGATCAAAAAAATCATAAGGGGTCAGAGCCCCAGGGGGGCTCCCCCCACTACTTTAAGTCTGCTACTGCGAGAAGTGAGGGGGAAACTAGGGCCCAGAGGCTCCACCCCCACCTTCGGCGGTGCCCAGCGGCTCCTTGTGTCTTCAGCATCACAGCACAGGTTTCTACCCCTCCCCTGCCATCCCACGCAGGGGAAGGGGCTGCACCCTCAGTACTTATTGATTCCAAAAATCCGGACTCCATGGAGCTGGGGCAGCTTGGGGATGAGCACGCTCATCAAGGACACAGTGTTGAGGATGAAATGGATCTGGTCGTACTTGGTGTAGAAGCTGGTGAGGAAGTACCTGGGTGGGGAAGGTTGGGGGCAGGTGTAAGACTCTGTTTGGAAGCCGCCTTTCTCCCTCACTCCCTGGTCGGGGGAGGCAGGTTCCTGGCAGCCGAGGAGTTACGGGAAAGACACCCCCCCCCCCCTACGGGAAAGACCCCCCCCCCCCCAGAACAGAAGTAGGGTGGCAAGATCCGCGCAGCTAAAGAAGCCCCTGCTGACCCAGTCCCCTTGCTCTACCCCAAGCCCATGGGCCAAACTCACTGGCAAGAAGAAAGCCCCAACCGAGGAAAGACAGGACCAGGGAGGCACAACCTGAGCCCAGTGTCAGACCCAGGCACACCCCAACCTTCCTTCCTTTGCTCATTCCTATGCCAAGAGCCACAGCTGGCGAGGGATTTAAGCCTTGCAGGGCCCCAGGGTCCCCCAGGCCTTGGCCTTCCTGCTGGCGTCCCCCTCTCCCTAAGGCACTCACAGCACGATGGGTGTGATGGTCAGGAATTTCCGAGATGCCGTGAACTGGACTCCATAGTCCATCTGCTCCCAGTGGGTTAGCAGCCTCGCCTTGCCCTGGTCTGGGGTCTCAAAGGGGGTCCCCTTCACCGTGTGCAGGAAGATGTACATGCCCTGGAGGGAGGGGCCTTTGTTAGAGGATGCAAAAGGCCAAAGGCCCTCCAGCTCAGCTCCTCCGCCCCAGTCACAGATGTGGGGTCCTGGTGATCTGGAGCCCCCTCCGCTGGGCAGGGGGATGTGGGCTGGAGGTCAGGCGGGAGGAGCTGGGAGCCTGGCCAGAAAATAAGGGGACCCACCTGGTGAGAGGGCAGGCCTGGCATGAGAAGAACTCACGGGGAGGTGTCAGCCACAGAACCAGCATGGAGACGCCACCCCTCCAGCCCAGGGCTAGGCTCCCTGTGCCTGCCAGCTGGCAGGGGGCAAGCAGATGGGAAGGAACGAGGCCCCTGCTTGCCCACCAAAAGAATACCAGGGAGCAAGCAGGTAGTAAGGGAGCAGAGAGGGGCAAGAGGAAAAGATGCTCTGAGATCCTAACTCGGGAAAGAGGCATTTCTGCCCCAGGCTAGGACCTGGGTCCTCTGGACTCTTTAGGGCCCTTAGTTCAGCTCTCCGTGGCCCATCTTCCAGATCCACAAGTCACCCCATCCTAGAGGTATGGACATATCTGCAGATTTTATTCCAATAAAGAGGAGTGGGGCAGAAAGAAGAGGGTGGGGTCTGGGCTCTGGTGACACGTGCCGTCAGCATGTCACCCTGACGTCTGGCGGGCTCCCATCCTCCCCAGCCCCACCAAAGGCAGGCAGCAACAGGTCCTCACCATGTTGTGGATGAGGTTGGTGAGGGTCCAGACGACGGGGACGCTCACAAAAGGAATGCTGAGCAGCACGACGTGGAGGAGCCCGATGGCCAGCACGTAGGAAAGCCAGATGCCACGGCTGTTCATCACCCGCGTGTTGGGGTTCACCTCGCTGTGTGCTGTTCCCACATTCATCCTGCTGCCCCTCTCCTGCCACTGTTCTGCAAACAAGCAGCACAGGTGAGACAGGTCACACCACTTTCCCTGCCCTCTCACACCCTCCAAATCCTGCAGGGAAGGAAGCTCTGCTCTCCCCAAGAACTCCAAGCAGGTCTACCATTTCGATTCTCAAGCGAGGAGGCCAAAGAAAGTCCATGTAGACTTAACTCTATTCATTTCTCACTGCTGGGTTGGGATAAACACCAGGCTGCTCCGCACATAGTCCAATCAGGACAGTGCCCTTCCAGGCACTGGGACTGCCTGGGTGGACAGGTCATCAAGAGGCATCGAGCCCCAGAGTAAAGAAACCACTGCCCATCCCACAATCTCACCCTCCAGAGGGTCCTCTTCCCACGAAGCCCAGGGGAGGGGAGAAGAGGCCTGTGCCCTAAGAATCACTCAGCATAATCCCTTCTGGACTCCGTCTTGCTGAGGGTCTGATATAAGACATCTCCACCCCTGAGCTCCCTGCCCTCTCGTTACAAGGAATAAAAGGAGATGAGAACAGTCAGTAGTGGATAAAATATTTGGGGGTCATTGCTTCTACCCATCTCCCCTAATTCTCCAATCCTGGGTATGACTGGCAGGGTAGAAAGAGAGGGAAAGGGAAGGAAAAAGAGACTAGAGACAAACTTTGCCCAGACCTGGAAGCTGCCTTCTTGGTGACACAAAACAACCCATCCAGATGTTTTATCCATTTGGCAGCCACTCAAGCTAACCCTCGTGATGCCACCCATTTTGCTGCCAAACTACCAGGGACCTTTTCCCCACCACAGGAGAGGCAAGGATAGAGAACACAGCCAACATCTACAGGTCCCACGGGTGGCTGGAGCCCACATCAACATACCTCTCCCAGGGATACAAAACCACACCTGTGGCCTCTCTCCTGCCCCCCCCCCTTTTCTCTCTGCCCACCCATCCTCACCTGGGCCTCCTTTCCCAGCACCTGTTTCCAGGTGTAAGTTAGCACCATGCCTTCCCCTGCCCAGCTCTAAGGGCAGAAGCCCTGCAGCAGGAGGAACCAGGAGGGCTGCCCTTGATGCCCATGAAACAATGCAGCCCAGCTGCATTCCTGGATGCAGGTAAGGAGGGGAACGAGCAGCCCCATGTCCAGAGCTGAGCTGTCCCCAGATCCCTGAGGGCCCTGTGACCAGCAGGAGGTGGGGACAGATGGCACCTTTGTACTGGCTCTCCTCCCTAGCTGAGGGAACATCCTGCCTGATAAAGACCCTAAGGTCGTCACCATGATAACAGCCCCATCTTTCCTGGGGATACAGAAAGGGGTCCCAGATGAGGGCATCCTGGAAGTGCCCAGGAGGTCACCTCCCTCACCCTGCTGCAACAACCCCCCTCAGAATCGGTTGCCCTCTATCTCTGGCTAGGATCACAGAGTCTGCAAAGCAGCCGATTCTCAAGAATCAGTTCCCTACTTCCAGGATAATGGGAACAAGTTTTCTCCTTTCAGATGGCTCCAAGCTCAAAGACCTCAGGGCAGGGCTGCCCTGGTGGCGCAGTGGTTGAGAGTCCGCCTGCCGATGCAGGGGACGCGGGTTCGTGCCCCGGGCCGGGAGGATCCCACATGCCTTGTTTGTAAATCACAGCTTCCAAAGACTATATCCTCCTTCTTGACTGGATTTGGATGTCTTATATCATACAGGTCATTTATTGGCCCAGGTAACTTCCATCGTTATCGAGCGCAAGTTTGTGTGCCCGACACACAGTGAGGCCAGACAAACGCAAATGTTGGAGCTTGGAGCAGAGAAAGTTTTATCGCAGGGCCATGCCAGGAGAACTGGTTGCTCATGCTAAAAAAAAAAAAAAAAAAAACGACCTCAGGGGAAATGTGACCCACAACACACTTTCCCAACATACAAACATACATGAGATGGCCCAGGGTGCATCCAAAAGTAGCGATGCTCCTGGGGCCCACCAGCTCAACCCATTAGGCTGGATCACTGGGCCTAAGAGAAACCCAAGGAACTAGAAAACCAGGAGTGGCTCAGGTGTTTACCTTCCCAGGGCCTTAGGGCTTCAGTTACCCTAACAGAGCTCCTGGGACACCTACTGCACAAAAGCCTCCACCTGGTGGACAGGGTGGTCGGGGACACTTGGCTAGGAAGTGAGGGCTCTGAAGGACTTCATTACTGACGAAGGAGAGAGAAAAAATTCCCCAAGTCGACCAGAAACTGCTGCCCCTCCCCACTTCTCCCTAACCTAGACCCTCAAGGGTGTAGGAGTAGCTAGACCTCTGGCCCTCCCTAGTGTTTTGTCCAGGAGTGCTAAGAGCCTTGCTGAGTTCCAGATCATCCCACACTCCTTTCTGGCTGTATCAGGGCATCCAACGAAGCCTGATGAGCCTAGGAGGGGCCCAGACCTATGACTTAAATGACGCCCTGGGAAGCTTCTTCCTGAAACCTGAACACTAAGTGCCCTGAGAGCAAAACATCTCAGGAGACCGCGCCCCCAAAAGAGCCCCCCCCAGAAAAAAACAGAAGAGGTCAATAAACTAAGAAAAAGACTGGAAGCAAGAAGCACTCTTGAGACTTTTGTGTGACTAAGGGTACATATCACCTCTGCTAGTGAAATAACCAACTGCCCCTGGCCCAGAAGAGGAGAAATGGAGAGAAGCAGCTGTTGGACATAGAGTAGGCGCACAGCAGCTGAGCCTGAAATGTGCTGCTGCCACAGCTGGCAGCTGGCAGGTGGCTGCCTGTGTCAGTCCCTGATGTGGTTTCACAACCTGCCTCAAACCAGAGCCTGCAGCAACTTTGTTCTGTTAACTACTTTCTTGCTGGTAACTCTTTCCTACTCCTTCCCTCCCTTCCCCTCTGGCTCCGTATACAAATATCTCTGCCTAGCCGGTCTGTCAGACACCTAAGCCGAGGCCACAGTGCCAGCAGCCAGGTGAGCGCTTCCTAATCTCTCCCCCAAGTAAGGGCAGCAAAGCTTTCGCCTTCTGGGTTGAGGAGCACAAAGCATCCGAGCCTGCAACCTGGACCCCAACGGGGAGTCCCTGGCAGCACGCCACAGTGCCATTTTCATTCCGCCCATCCCGCAACCCGCAGGGCCACAGTCGTTCACCTCGCAGCTCCGGCTCTGCCTCCCGGACTCGGGGTGGCGGTGGGAATAGAAAAACGGCGAGTACAGGAGGGAACGCACACTAGCACGGGGAGAGGGTGAAGCGAGGAGGCGGAGTTTTCACTATTGTTGGGGTTTTCTGAGTGGGACTTCAAGCCGAAGTGGGGGGCCTCCGCTCCGTTCCCCAGCCTGGAACCTCGCACTCAGAGCCTGGCCCGGTCCGGAGCCCCACCCCCACCCCCACGCGTTCACCCAGCCCTGGAAGCGAACAAACCTTTATCCCCGAAGCCCAGCCTCTCCCCGCCCCCCACCCCCAGACCGAGCACTCCTCCTCTACGCCCCACCCCGGGCCTCCGCCCGCACTTTCCCCTTTGGGCGTCCCTTCGACTGATGCACGCCCTCCCCCCCACGCTCGGCTGACGCACCCCCTCCACCTCCGCTCACCCTGTCCCGGTCCCCTCCAGCCACGGGCGCCTCCCCAGCAACCCCCACCTCCTTTCCCGTCCCGCCTCTAGCCCCAGGAGGCTCCCGGTTTGGCCACTCCGAAGCCGCCCGTCCGAACTCACCGTGCGCGGCCGGAGCTCGAGGCCCGGGAGGGGTGCCCGGGGTCGAGGGCCGCTGCTGCTCCAGCAGCTGTAATAAGCCGCGGCGGCAGCCACCCCGCTGGCAGCTCCGGCCGAATCAGCGCCCCGCGCCGGCCCCCATTACGTCACCGCCAAGCGCCGGCCCGCCCGCCGCCTCCTGGGAGTTGTAGTTTTTTTTTTTAAACCCCGCTCCAGCCCAGGCCTCGCTGGGGCCGCACGGAGCTTTCAATAGCAAGAGAAACAAAGATCAGATGGTATGGCTTTGGCGCATAGCAATGCCTGTTTCGGCGTCTGCGCGCTGCTTGTGGGGTTTACTCTTGCCCGGTTTTGCTGGCGAGGAAACTTGGAGTTTTAAGTAGCTTGCCACAGCTCCCGGCTGGGTCCCCCCAGAAATTCTGACCTCAAGTCGGAGTTTTTCATCTACACCTCGCTGCCTCTGCCCTGGCCCTCCAGAAATCGACTGGCTCAGCCGGTGCTGGGCCCTCCTGGAAGCGGGTTTTTCACAACGTTGCTTAGGATGAGAGTCTGGAGGGCAGAGAACGCAGTCCACAGCCTGTCTGCTCCTCAGTTACACCTGACCCAGGCTGGCCTGGGCCAGGTCACATCCTCGGCCTCCCCACATTAGAAGTTGGAAGAGGACTTGGGAAGACGACCTGATGAATAGCCAAGACCCTGAGTCCCAGCCCCTGGTCAGCTGTTTGGCTTTGGGTGGGAGGCTCTGGATCTGCACTTTTCACCTCTGCATGCTCTAAAGGCAAGGGCACAGATTTTCCTGTCAGGTAGACTTAGCAGGCACTGCTTCACCAGCAGTGTCACCCTGGGCAAATAACTTGTCTTAATCTCCAATTCCATACCTGTGAAAACCTACCTCCGAGGTTGTGGGAATTCAGAAGAATGTATGTATAGCAGCTGTTGTGTGGTAGGAAGCTGTTGCTGTAGGAGGTTGAACTAAATGGCTCTTGAGGTCTCCTGGGTCACTCCCACTCTCCATGTCACCAAGAGTGCCTTGTTTGTGGAGTTTCCACTCCCCCGACCCAGGTTCTAAGTCCACTCTATGCGCAACAGGGCTGGAATAGCAGGATCAGGTGATGTCATGACACGCCAATCTGACTGGCTGTAAACACACACTGAAGGTGAGGGGACAAAAAGGAGAATGATGGCCCAGGGAACCTGGGGAGCACTCCTCTGTGACCTCACCCACCCCTCCCCAAGGGGGCTTCCAGGGAACAGCTGTCACAAAGCAGGAGTGGGGCCCCCAGAGGCACCCAGTGGGCACCAAGCAGGTGGATATCTGAACCACTCAGAGCAGGAGAACAGGCAGCTTCTCGAATATTTCCAGGGCCAGTAGCCCAAGAGCACTCAGCTCAAGACCTAAATGGTCACCCCAGAGTCTGAAAATTTTTTGCTGTGTCTTACAGAAGTTCCTGCTGGTTGGGAGAGGCCCCTTTCCTTACAGTCAGCCTTGTGAAGAAATAAGCAAAAACTGAGTGTTGTCCTTTCCTTAGAAGCCTCCCCGGTATTGAGGCAAAAAAAAAAAAAAATCTCTCGGGCTTCCCTGGTGGCGCGGTGGTTGAGAGTCCGCCTACCGATGCAGGGGACACGGGTTCGTGCCCCGGGCCGGGAAGATCCCTTATGCCGCGGAGCGGCTGGGCCCGTGAGCCATGGCCGCTGAGCCTGTGCTCCGTGACGGGAGAGGCCACAACGGTGAGAGGCCCGCATACTGCAAAAAAAAAAAAAAAAAAAAGTCTCTTACTTTTCCCAAAGTGAGCCTACTTGTCTCCTTCGACTTTTCTCTGGGATTCTTCCGTCTTCCCCGAAGTTGATCAAGCTCTCTGATCTTTGCCAGTTTCCTCACTGTCTGTGAAGTTCAGTGACCCAGACTGGATCCATGTCTCAAATAAGGGTCTGACTAATGCATAGTCTTAACAGAAAGATTATTGGACATGCCATGCCCTATTAATAGCTCCTGTTATCAAGGGTTTGTTGTTGTTTTTTTTTCACAACGGGAATGAACAGAGTACTGACTCACTCTAGGTTTGTGGTAAATTGTGGATCACTTTCTGCTTAATTTATCCTGAGTCCCTGTCATCATCTTTCTCCTCTAGCTCTCTGCCTTCATAATTATCATGTCTTCACCAAACATCCTTCAGCCTTGAATAGGCCTAAGTACTTAGAATGAGTGACAGCACTCTTGTGTGGTGCTGGGGATGCATAACCCCTTGGACAAACACTTGGTGATCTGTGCCAAGAGGCTGAACGATTGTTCAGGCCTCAGAGCCATGATTCCATTTCTGGTAGCATATTCTAAGGAAGTACGTACCATGCACTATGTGTGAAGATCTTTATTCCAGCATTAGTTATGACAATGGAAAACTGAAAGCAACCCAAATGCCCAAGAAAAAAGTAATCGTACTATATCCATTGGGTGACATAGTAGGAAGCCATATAGTAAGCAGTATAGGAAAATGTTTGCTAATTTAGATGAAAAGATCAGGATACAAAATAGCATGAGCTGGGAGTTCCCTGGCGGCCCAGTGTTTAGGACTTGGGGCTCTCACTGCCATGGGCCCGGGTTCAATCCCTGGTCAGGGAACTAAGGTCCCACAAGCCTGCCCCACAGCACGGCCAAAAAAAATATATGTATATAGCCTGAGCATTCTCCAGGGGTGCAGTCAGCAAAACAAACACAATTTCCTCATTAACAAATAAATTGGAAGAAAAAAAGGAAAGGGAGAGACTTACACTTAAAAGAAATTAAGCAATCTGTCAACCAAAAGCCTTATCTGGGTCCTCATTCAAGCAAACCAACTTTTAAAAATATATATATTTTATTAAATTATTGAGGAAATTTGAATACTAACTATTCAAATTGATGATCTTAATGAAATATACATTTTAAGGCATGATATGGTACTGTGGTAATTTTTTCAATAAAAATCCTTGGGCTTCCCTGGTGGCGCAGTGGTTAAGAGTCCGCCTGCCAGTGCAGGGGACACGGGTTTGAGCCCTGGTCCGGGAAGATCCCACATGCTGCGGAGCAACTAAGCCTGTGAGCCACAACTACTGAGTCCGCGAGCCACAACTACTGAGCCCGCGTGCCACACTACTGAAGCCCCTGTGCTTAGAGCCCGTGCTCCTCAACAAGGGAAGCCACCACGATGAGAAGCCTGTGCACCACAACGAAGGGCGGCGCCCGCTCGCCACAACTGGAGAGAGCCTGCGCACAGCAGCAAAGACCCAATGCAGTCAAAAATAAAATAAATACATTAAAAAATAATAATAATAAAATAAATAACCTTATATTTTGGAGATAAATACTAAAATATGTGTGGATGAAATGATATGATGACTGGATTTGCTTCAAAATAATCTGGGCTGGGGATGGGGGAAGGGAATAAAAGAAACAAGTTGGGCCATGAGGTGATAATTATTGAAACTGGGGGAGGGGAACATGAGATTCCTTATATTATTTTCTCTGCTTTTTTGTGTTTGAAATTGTCTGTAATAAGTTTTTATAAACCTGCATATGCATTAACGATTATGATGAGACAAAATAGAGTAACACTGGTAAGATCCTGGCCCCAGACTGCCAGGGTTCAACTCCCATCTCCTGTACTTACCAGCTGTGTGACCTTAGGCAAGTCACCGAACCTCTCTGTGCTGCAGTTCCTAAAAATGAAGGATGTTGATGATCATGGTGATAGCCACCTCATGTTGTTGTGAAGATTAAATGGGTCATTAAGTGTGAAGCATTTAGAACAATTCCTGGTACATAGTGAGTACTCTATATATGTATCAACTTTTGTTAATCCGTTCCACATTTGAGTGATATTTGAGCATCTACTTTACTAGGCTGTGGAAATTCAATAAAATAAAAACAGATCTTGTGTTAGGATGGAGGGGTTGGGGGTGATCTTTTTCATTCTCTAGTTTCAAACTTTGTGTAATGTGAGATTATTCGTTTTAAATTTTTTATGAAAACTGTTTGTGTTTTTAAAACAGAGTGAGTCAACTTTGCAGGCTCTCCCTGCCCTCTGGGAGCTCCTTAGTCTGCTCAAGTAGTGTTCCCAGCCTTGGGGTATTTCCATCTGCCAGGGTGGTGTGGCCTCTGCTTGCCATAGATACACTGTGTGGGCCAAGATAGCAAACACGGGCAGGGTAGTAAGCTGGGAGTACATTCCTGGGGTGATGGTAGTGGTGGGAAGTGAGGAGGTGGGGCATCAAGAAACAGAGCCCCTTCTTCTGACCCCTGGGGGAATGAATGGCACCCCTCCATTCTTACCACCTCCTACTCCGCTTCAATTCATTCCTG